TTTGCATCTCTAATGACAATCAAATGAACAATATGTCATAAAATTCTTATCACAGTTCTTTTAAAACTTAAGAAATTGGGGGGGGGGGTCACCCAGGAGGGCAAAATTATCGATGTCTGCGACTGCATGTGTTGACATCAGAAACCATCGCGTTTTCAAAACACAAATTTTCCTGTCAATTGATTTTGTTCTATTAAAAGAAGAATTTCAGCTTCATTATCTACATAGTTACGAATGGCTGCAGCAACCTGCGACCCTGCAAACCATCGGCTTACACAAGGTTTACACTGCGCCACATCCAAGAAGACCTCAAATCACAACTTAACGGCCATTTACGGTCGCTTTTTCGAACACTTGATGTCGTTGTACGTCCTGATAAAATTCCGGGAGAACTGAAAGAAAGCGGCATGTTGGCGGAGTTACAAATAGGCCTGTCACCCTCTCTGTTTCCGCGGTCCATTAACCCAAACGTGAACAGAGTAACAGCTTCGCTCACATTATGAATTCTCTTGTCTGTTGCAGAATCTGAACTGAGCAACTTCCTACTGAATTCTTTTCGCAATTTTTGCCTTGTCTTTATACTTTAATCCATGACCCTACATCAGGCCTGATTTCTTATCTTTGAATTTAAATGCTGCTTGGATTCTGCCTCAAAGAAATGACATAAATAAAGCGTATTCGGTAATAAAATGCTCGTGAGATGTTCCCAAGAGCAAAGAAGTGACAAGAGGACGGAGAAAGTTTCCTAATGAAGAGCTTCATAATTAGTATTTTCTACCTAACATTATTAGGGTGAACCTGTCAAAGAGGGGGAGGGGGAATAATATAAAGCATGGATGAGAGAAATTAAAAGAGAATCCGTTTTATTCCTTAAACCCAAAGAAAGGAAAAAAATCCGAGAGAAATAGATGTAGCTGAGAGGACATGAGAACGTGGACTGAGTTAACTGCTTCCGAAAATGGTCCAGTTATGTGTTCTTGTAAACACGACAAAAAGAAAATTAGATTTTCATAAAATATAGGGAGTTACTGACCATAAACTTCACCATCAGTTTCTATAGTTGGAGCAGCCTCTAAGGAATTTGTCGATCTAACAGCTCTAATTGAGGCCACAATCCTACAGGTCCACCCTTCTAAATAAGCAATTTCAAAGGAGCTGAGCACTTCTTGAGAAACCGCAAGTTTTGCAGTTATTCAAGAAATTTCCATCATTTTACGGAATCCTAAGGTTCATTACAGTGTTCACAAGAGCCCTCCACTGCTTCCTATTATAAGCCAGATCAATCCAGTCCATACCATTCCATCCTATCTCTCTAAAATTCATTTAAATGTTATTCAGACACTTACTTCTTGGTCTTCATAGTGGTCTTCTTCCTTATGGCTTTAGCACCAATATCCTGTTCGCCCTATTTGTGCTATATGCCCTGCCAATCTCACCCTCTTTGACTTGATGATTCTAATTATACTTTGCTAATAGTACATGTTAGCCGGTCACGGTAGCCGAGCGGTCTAAGGCGTGCACTGTCTTCGCTCGCTCGGAAGCCGGCATCGTGGTTCGAATCCCACTCAGGGCATGGATGTTTAGTTTGTGTGTATGCGCCTTTCTGTGTTGTGTATAGGTAGAGGCCTTGCGACGAGCTGATCACCCGCCCAAGGAGTCCTGCCATATGTGTAAGATCTAGAAAAACCGAAGTGAAAAACGGATAAGTTCATGGAGGTAGGCCTAGGCCCACTGGGGCTGCAGTGCCAAGGAAAAAAAACAGTACATGTTATGAAGCTCCTCATTATTCAGTTTGACCTTCTAAATTATTTTTTTTAATTCGCTTAGTGGGGGTGGAGTCCAGCTGGGGCCACTCGGCACGGCGGCCACTGATTGGGCTACTGTACCTGCCCCAGGTGATTATGATGGAGAATTTGGTGGAATGAAGATTGGCAGGGGAAACTGAAGTACTCGGAGAAAACCTGCAACGGCGCCTCTTTGCCCACCACAAATTCAACTTGACCAGACCTGGGATCGAA